AATTCGCTAGAAAATGTGGAAAAAACGCACTCTCACAGTGACCCGTTTTGTAGGGTTTAGGGTTCAGGGGTTAGTTTTCGGATTAGGGTTCTTGGGCTTAGGTTTAGGGGTACAGTTTGGGTCTAGGGGCTCCAGGGTTTCAAGTCAAGCGTGGGGATTTCCAGGAACAGGGGTCCCTCAGTAGGAGCCCAGGTAATTAATGAGGATCATAATATAGTTGAGTACATACACGAAAAGACTTCCGCCTCTTTACTCATAAGCAATGTTTCGTCTGCCGTGAAGGGTTGACAGACACCTCCACTCTTGGTACTCAATGCCCTAAATGGCTCTAATATACTGAGCTACCTCAAGTCCAAAGGCATCAAGTGCTTCGGGGCCTGCAGGATATTCGGCATCAAGTGCAAGTACCGCATTTGGACTCTAAACCATATATATATATATAACCCCAATATATACCCTATAGTACCCTTATAGAACCCTATATTATCCCTATGGTAGGAGTTTATAAAAATGGTAGGTACAACCCTAAACCCTAAACCCTAAACCGCGCATGAACCCATATCCAACGAGTTCCTAAACCTCTTCTCAGCCGGACCAAGCTGCTGCTTGCCCCGAGGGGAAGTCAACTTGACCTTGAACTGCACAGACATTTGGGTAGTGTTCTTTTTGGTGGTTAAACCCAGTAAGAATATTTTTCCTTATATAAGCTACTATACCCCAAAAGGAGTATATAATCTTACTAAATAATGGGTACCATAGTATCCTGAAATGAAATACTACTCATTTGAGCTACAGTCTCCTAGGATCCCCCTGAATACCCCTATAGTACTTTCCTATAACAACCGTATATAGACCACTAAACCCCTGTATAACCCCGTTTAAGGAGTTTAGACTTTAGTTCATCTGGGTTGGAGGCTTCAGGTTTTGGGATCATGGTTGCAACTTCTCGGAAGAATTTGCAGGCATCGCGGGGGACTTGGCAAACTGCTCTTCTCAAATCAGGGAAAATCATGCAGGTACCTGTAGTATAGTAGGAAGCATTTTTAGTAAGAATCGCAGTGAGAATCATCAAACAAGAATAACACTACTTGCTACCATCATCCCTAAAAAGAAATGGTAAACCACACCTTCGCCCAAACGAACATCGAACCGAAAAGGTACCCTGGGTAGAAAAAATACTGTCCTTGTAATGATGCCCTTCTTTCTCTTCCCAACAAAATCACCATAAAACATCCACCAAGCCAATCCGCCGTTTATAACCCCAACCGAGAGGGTACAGTATGCAATGACCGAACCTAGAGTAGCCCAGACTGGGGCCCGTTCTAAGGTTGAAACCATGGGCCTCTAGTATGAGTATGGGCCCTCAACCCCGGGACCCTTACATAGCTACTATGTACCCTATATTTTCCCTTAAGGGTCCCTAGAATCCCCACCCCAAAGGCCTAAGGGGCCATATTAGGGGCCCATACCTCTAACCCTCGAAACATGATGGACACAACGCTCTGTGTTATGGGCACATGGGTTGCTCGAGATAAACCCTGGCCCCATCGCAGCGAAGGAGCTTGCCATTGTTCACCATCCTTCCGGGGGCATGGTGCGCATAAGTTGGTTTGAGATGGGACCCCTGGTATGGGTCCCCGGGTTGGGATTTATGGTACATACACACACATATCTATATACATATATCTATATATAGAATATATATATATATATATGTAGATATAGATGTATATGTATACCTGTGCATATAAGTACATCTGCAAATGCCATACACCCAAGCCCAGGGCAGGGATAAAGAACAAAGTCCTTAGTTGGATTTGACAGATGTCTTGCCGGCTTGGAGTCATGTAAGTGCAGATTTGGACACAGGTAGCCAAGCAAGGAGGCCTTCGTAATTTTACCCTAAACCCTGAACCCAATTATTTGTGTACATAGAGCTCGAAGGAGTCCCAAGTCCTGAGCCCATAGTCACCGCCTAGATTTGAAGCAGCGCATTTTGGACCGCCAATTGAGTAGCGATTTTTTGGTGGTTGAACCTAGTAAAATTATGTTACGAATATAAAATACTATACCCCAAGAGGAGGGTATAATCTTACTCTATATGGAGTACCATAGTATCCTCCAAAAATACTGCTCAATTGAATTCGTGGGAAGTGCAGAACAACTCAGGGGCCTCTACGCTGCACTTGGAGGCTGGCGAGACATAGTAGCCGACTATGCCCTGGTAAAATACCCTGTTTATAGCTATGTAGGATTTGAGTTATATTTGGGTAATATTGGGGTTATATAGGGATAATGGAAAATAAAATGGAAACTACTGGAATGGGTTATATAAGGATTAAGGGCTACATTGGGGTTAAGGTCATCATATTTTGTAGAGGGGGATGTAAACATTCTGCTCGCTTTTCAGGAATCTACAATAGTTCTGGTACAGCGTTTCCCCGGCGACCAAAGCGCTGAAGCATTCAGTACCTGGCACTCTTGCTAAACAAGTTTGTAGTATGTGTTGGGGCACACATTTCTCCAAAGAAGCCCAACTGCGCCTTAACAAGCCAGTATTTGCAGTTTTTCATGATGCGCTTGGAGGGCACAAGGCCGCAACTAACCCCCTCCGCCTCATGATAAACCCTCCACCTCCGCTTCTTAGCTTACATATACAAAAGTCCTACATCCGATAATTGTTATTTGCAGGTGTGGGGGATCCACTATTCCAATCCTAAAGCCCAAATCCTAAACGCCCTATACCCTAAACGCTCTCAATCCTGAGCGGGGAGGGATCAAATCATCACGCTGGTGCCTGGCACTCAATGACTCCAGCATCCTCGCCATTGGCCTGCTGCCAGGAGTGACTTACTTGGGGGCTAGTACGGAATTAGGGAATAGAATCCCCATATAAACCCTATATAGTTTGGGTTTGGGGGGTTTGGGTTTTGTGTTTGGGGATAGTAGGGAACGAGGGAATTAATCCCTGTCGGTTTAGGTAGGGTTTAGGGTTCAACCCTATATGATCCCCTTTTCGAGCTGACCCGCAAGAAGGTGATGTACGGGATGAAATACTGAGACTGAGGTATTGAATGTACACATGTGGTATTGCTCAGGGTTGGATCGACTCGGGGCTCCGGGCGGTAGAATTGAAGCTTTGATGCCCTGAGCCCACTCATCTTGGTTTCAAGCGTTGAACCCCACTTCCGTCCCATTACCTGTGCCTAAACCCTATAGTCGTAGACAGAATATGGCCTTAGGCATACTCTAATCAGATCCCCATATACCCCATATTTTATCTACTTAAGGGGGACTATACCCTTAACCCTAAATTCTAGACTCTAAACCCTCAATAGTTGTTTCCATTTCCATTATAACCTCCCCTATTCTATCTACTTAAGGGGGACTATAAACCCTAAGCCCTAAATAAATCCTACACCTCAAAATCCTGTTCCACAGGCCTTCGCCACTGCCACACCTGGAGCAAGCTCGGGCGCGTCGGGCTGAAACCAATCCGCCTGGATGAGGGACGCCTGGCCGGAGACTTGCTGGTTCTTAATTTTTGGGTTAAGGTTAAGGGTTTAGGGTGTGCATATATATATATACACATGTACACATGTCTCTAGATATATATATATCTGTGTATATATATATACATATTCTATATATACACATAGAGATAGGGAATAACTATAACGGTTATGTAGGGTTTACCTCACTGAAGGGCATATAGGGTCATGAACGGGTACATATTTCTAAGAGGTATTCTGGTTGTCAGCAATATTTAGGGTTGGGGTATACTGGGTTATCAAATTAAAGGGGTTTACATATATATGGGAATTGTATTATCGGGGTGTAGGGTTGGGCGTTTGGGTAAGGGTATCGAAATAAAGCTGAAAAGCGGATGGAAAATCAAACGTCCACTCGGGGCATACCGGATGTGTATATATATATATATATATGCACATATAACATATATATATATAAATAAAGAAAAAAGATATGCATATCTGTATGTGTCTAGGGTGTGCTTGCTGGTTGTTAAGTACCAGAGACGAACCACAAGTGGTGAGGGGGGCTTTAATCTTAAGGACTTTTGGCGTGAAAGGTATTGGGCCACTTTCTCAACGTTGGCCGCCTGAATAGCGATCTGCGTGGTGGAGATGGCAAAAGCACCTTTCAACGACAACTGACATGAGATTTAGGACGCGAGGTTGCAGCAGGCTTGAAAGCTTAAGTCTTGAAGGCTGCAGGCTTTGTGTTTTTCCCACAACCCCTAGGGCTTCTGGATTCCTCCCCGTTGCGAGGGGCGGGGGGTCTCATGCTAAGATGTCCGCAGCATGCCCCAGGGTATTCTACCGTGCAGCGGCATACTCAGTGGGGTTACAGGTGTGAGGTCTACTTGTGGCTTTGAGGTCAAGCTTGACCCCCTAAAGGATCCAAAAAATGGAACCCCCTAATAATCCCATAGTTTCCGCAATGTTGTAATGGGTTCACATTGGGGCGGGGTTCCATTTTTTGGATCCTTTAGGGGGTCTGGAGAGTTCTGGGTTCAAGCGGGTTCCTTGGAAGGGACCTTCGGCGGCAAGACGCCTACATAGAAAAGATTCAGAGTCTGGCAAGTGCCTTTAACTCTGAGGCCAAGTTTAGGGTTCAGGGTTTAGGGGTGTACTGGGGACATATAGGGATAATGGAAAAGAAAATGGGAACTACTATTTAGGGTTTAGGGTTTGGGATTTAGGGTATACGTAGAGGGGTGGGCCGCTGCAACATAGGGGTGTGGGCCGCTGTAATGCTGCTTCTCTGCAAGGAGCGCAGCTGTGCCCGGCCTTGTTTTGCGCTACTTCCCTTAACCCTAAACTCTAAACCCTCAACGCCAGTTCAGGTGATGTTGGGTGAGGCCAGTATACTGGACCCCAAACCTTGAACCCTACCCAGAGTTTAGGGTTCAGAGTTTCAAGCCCTAAACCTTAAACCTTAAGTCCGAGAGTTCTCTATACTCTACATGATGTGCTGGGTTCGACAGGCGGTGCAGGAGATCTGTCACGGCACTGTACGGCTGAAAACACAGCCTTAAGCAATCAGAACAAGGCCTCAAACTGGGTTGCTGTTGCAGAACTTTTCCAAATTACTAGAATAAGGAAAGTCTATTACTTACTATATACCCATAATTATTCTGGTAGCTTACATAACATCCTTAACAGCAGACCGGTAAAGCGATTGTAGGCATTCTGAACGTCCAGGGAAGGACTTCCACACGTAGCAAACCGATTGCAGATGTCTAGAAAGGGAATAAGGGGGTCCATACCAATACTCTAATATTCGTACCAAAATCTGAAACCCCCAGGGGAAAAGGGTGCCCCTCATAAAACGACATCTGATGTCTGGAACCCCCATATGAATTGCCACGAATATTTCTCATGTAACTGATGGACATGCGCCCTCATTGAAACTATACCACACTACCAAAGGAAGCACTACGTCCATCCTTACAAGCCCTATCTTGAAAGTAACTCATCTGACTTGCAGCACGGCGTCTTTGAAAGCTAGAGCTTGGCGCGTGCCTAAGAACTAAGAGCCTCAATGAGACCCAGAAAGAAGGCCATGCTTCAAACAGCTGAGATTTAGGGCCGGGCCGTAATGTTTGGTGGTTTCCCCAAATAGGGGACCCCAATACAAATCCCAAAATGCTGTAATCCTTATTTTGGGGATCCCCAATATACACCCCGAAATGCTATAATCCCTTATTTTGGGATCCCCAATACAAATCCAAAAATGCTGTAATCCCTGATTTGGGGGATCCCCAAATGTAGGGTTCAGGGATAGCTGAAAACCTCGGATGCCTCAAGGTCCTCAGCTCTGCAACTCCCGGAACCACTGAACCTAACCCTTTCCCCTAAGAGTCCAAGTGCCCAATAATCAGTTACTTAGGATTTTAGCAGTAACATTTTTTAGTACAGGTTTTGGGTAAGTATGTCATTATTAGGTACTTGGCCTCTTAGGGTTTCTCTAACCAAGACGCTAGTGATGGGCAAGTTGTCCAGCAAGAAGATCCTTTCAGGCCCGGCATCGCAAGACAAAGAGTGTGGGAAGTGGGACCCGCCTTTCCAACTGAAAGCAAAGCTGGACTCCCCTCTGTGCAATGGAGTTGAATCGTCTATAATGATACTGTCGATGGCAGAAATTCTGCTCCTGGAAGGCCAATTACGCACAATGATGTTCTATTTCGCACGAAATTCCCATCACTTCGGGTTAAAGTAGCCCATTATTTTGGTAACTGGGCTTTCCAGAAATCCACTACTTCCTGGACATGACAAGAGTTGTGGAGCCTACCTAGGTTTGGGTGAATCAGACAGTTGGACTGAGCGTCCGCATTTGAGGGTTTAGGGTTTAGGGAGAAATAGGGACTACAAAGTGATTATGGAGGTCAATGTGTTTAGGGCTGTAGAAGGCTTGCTTTGACAGCTTCTGTGGGAGTTTAGAAAGCGAGCAACGTAGACCCTTGCGAGTCCGCTTGAGATTTGTTTCTACAACTTACTGGTTCTTTAAAGGGAATAACGGGAATGCCTGTATCCTACATTCCCTTAATACCCTACTTTAAGAACCCGTACTTAAGACAATCTTGTAGGGCCTGACAAAGTTTGTCAGTATTTTCCTCATGCACGCTTACGTTTAGATACTTCAGATAACCACTTGAAAAAACATCCCTACAAGCGTTGACCATGAAGCCCTGGAATAATTAACTCCAAACCCCGCTGATATTGAATCAGGAAGTCTTTCGTGTAAATCCTGACCAACGGGTTTTCTACAGAGGCCGTACTTGCTTCCGACAATAGAATCGATGCCGCACAGATCTATGATAAATTTCTCCGTCCTTCAAAACACCCAACGAAGACCTTCCTAGACCTACAAACGAGCTCGAATGACCTGAATTTGGCTATAGATTCCTAACTTCCGGGGGCTTACGTAAAAATGACCCTACATACGCCCAAAGTCCATGTCACTTTAAATTTCTCTTTCATCTGATGCTCCGTTCCTAGAATCCAGACCCCCAACCCTCAATAGTATCTTCCACTTGTCATTTTCCATTTGAGTTTCCATGTTGGAGTAAAGCCCCCATACGTCAACCATGTACCACCCTAAACCTGACCTCCAACCCTAAACCCGAAACCCTAAATCCGCAACCCTAAACCCCAACCCCATGGTGGCTGTGCTACGACCATCCCAGGGGCAGATTCTCCAGCAACCTCGGTGCGACGGCCACGCCGACCTCAGAAGAGCTTGTTTTCAAGGGTTTCAGGATTTATGGGTTAGGTTTTCAGGGTTTCAGGGTCCCTCAAACCTGGGCAACCTTGAGAAGCATGCATGCACTTTGGGGAAAAAATCCAACCTAAACAAAACCATGTGAGATCGCTCGTTACAACTTCCCCAGTAGAAAGTATGCTATGTCTCATCTCAGTCTGGCTTTACTAATCATGTCTGAGCCTCTGCATCCGCAGGTATATTCAGGCCCTATTAACTTCATACTCAGAAGCAACTACCATGGGGGGAGTGACCTGATGCATAGGTCTGTTCAGGCCTTTGGTCCGCGTCAACTCTAGTGAATTTGCAAGGATGGCTTGAAGTCTTCACACGCTACCGCTTGCAACTGTTGGATTTCGCCAGGTATGTGTGAATAATTCAGTATATTAAGATAGACTGATCGATAGGCAGAGGGAACAAGCGACTAAGATCAACCACCACTTAGACCCTCCTCCTACCCTCTATTAGGCCCTAAGTACCCACTATTAGGGACCATATATCCCCAATTAAGGATACAAGGAGGGTCCTACCCTAAACCCTAAACCCTAAACCCAGCTTGAGCCATGGCGCGGCCACAACCGCCACAATTAGGCTCCAGTGACGTAGGAGAAGTCGGCGTATGACCCGGATGAACTTCATTGCCATCCTGGCTACAAAAACTACGAGCCCCTAAACCCTAAACCCTAAATCCCAACCCCCAAACCCTAAACCCTAAACCCTCAAAACTTTTCACCTCAAAGCCGGATAATGAGGGCCCAGATTTCTGACCCAAATAAGAAAATGATATACTAGTAAGAACGGTATAAGAACTCATACTCCTGCTACTACTAGTCGTGGCAGCAGTAGGATTTATAACTAGCAGTAGGAATGGTAATCGCACTACCCTAAACCCTGAAACCCTAAAACCCTAAACCCTAAAACCATAAAACCCTAAAACCCTAAAACCCTGAACCCTAAACCCTAAAACCTAAACCCTATTGACTTGTAGCTGGAAGGAGCCTCTGAATCTCCAGCACTATGAGTAGCGTCTGCGTCACCATCAGCAGAAGCTGTGCCAAGATTCGGGCATCCTTGGTTGCGCAGGTGACTTAGGAGTCGGGTATTTCATATTTTTAGGGTTTTGGGGGTTCTGTTTTTAGGGTTGCAGTCTAGAATCTATCATTCAGGATTTGAGGCCACAGGGTTGGGATTTCTCAATATTTATACCCCCCAGGACTTCGGAGATTTCGTGGCACCCGGAGCCCAAAATCCGCAACCGAACAGCCCAAAAGACACCCACACCTGCCCCGAATGAAGGTTCCAAGTACAAACTTGGGACTCAGGGATATGTAATTAAGGGGGTTATAAGGGTTCGGATTAGCACAATTTGAATAAATGACTACATCCTTGAAGTGTGTGGCTCAGCATTCCCTACTGCTCCTTAGTACTCGCGACCACCCTCTGTAAAGCTAAACCCTAAACGCTTAGAAAAATGCTTCAAGACAGCTCGCTGCACTCTCTGGTGCCACGGGCTGAGGTGCAGACAAATGGATTCGGATTTAGCGTTTATAGGGCTGGGGGTTTGGGGTTTATGGGGTTCGGGGTTTCGGGTGTATAGGGGGTTGATAGGATTTGGGGCTTATAGGGCTTGGGATCTTGAAATCCGATGCACCATGGATAGTCCATGCACTCGCAGAATTGACATTGAAGCTGAACATGGGCTCTTTAGACAATAAATCCATGCCGCCTACTAGTTATCCTCAAAATACTTCCTGTGTATAGTGCGGGGAATATTCAGTGTCAGGGGGTGGGGGATTATTCTTAGGGGAAGGTGTTTAGAGTCAAAAAAGATGCAAATGAGGTTGCATGTCCAATTCGGGGAGAGTGCTTTGAGAGACTCTGGAGTTAGGTAATATACCGAATGCCACCAAACAGCCTATCATGGCTGGATGTCTTCTTCGAAGGGGCCTAAAATGATCTGGGTTGCTGTTAAGGAACTTAATTTCAAGTTACAATACTGGGTATATATAGTAATTAATAGGTTTAACCAATAAAGTAACTTAAGCTAAGTTCCTTAACCGGTGTAGTAACGTCAGCGACCCACAAAGCAAGCCCTTTGCGGATGAGATGCCGTCCGACTGATCCGCTTCATCTGCTCCACCATGTGAAGCAGACGCCTGTTTCCCGGATGTTGTACTTATAGCCCAACTAAAGCTGGTACTTAGAAGAGTGTTATACTTGGGTTTTAACAATGACAAATACAAGCATCACAAGTAGATTTAGGATTTAACGGCGGTGGTAATGCTCCCAGTGTCCATTGCATTTTCCATTTGATCATTTGATGTGGGCTTAGGTTGACACGAGGGTGCACCGCAGCAAGGCTCGCTGCCGCTTCTGGGAAAAAGTCACGCTCCACCGGTCACAAGCCATATACAGATAAGCAACCCACGCCAAGCCTGTCTGCTAATCCGCCGTGGAAGACCCCGAACAGCACCAGAGACAGAAACCCAACAACACCACCACAAGAACTCTCCGCCACTACACATCCCCTTCCTATGCTAACCCCCCAGAGCCCCTGGAACCCGCATGGAACCCGCACCATGTTTCTGGCAGTTGCCCAGGTTCTAGCAGGTATGCGTGATAGGCCACTCAACAAGGGCGTGCTCCGCAAATCCTTACGACTAATCGGGCACTTGTCAAAAAATCACCTTTTGGGGACCCATTGCTTGAGCATTGGCGCGGGCGATTCGTTGGCTCATAGATAATTTGCCATCCATAGGATCCCCCCGCAGCCCTTGACCCTGCAACCTACTCCATCGGCCCAAAACCTTTAACTGGAAGCTCTGCACCCTAGAAAATGAAACACATGACCCTAAACCTTGTCTCCACCAACCCCCACACCTTTCAACCTTAAAACCCCCAAACCCTAAACGCCATCCTAACTGATCCCTGCCCCCGGATGAGGTCAGCACTGCTTGTGGAGCATCTCAACATAGATCAGGCCTTGGTAGCTTCCAGACTCGGGAAGCTCAAGGCGGAGCTTATGGTCCCCTCTCCGTGATAAGCTCCCGAACCCCCTTAACAATAACTGTTTGGGGTTTAGGCCGGGTTTAATGTGTCAGGGTACTATCTTGCTGTGATTTATCATCAGGGGATGGGGCGCTGGAAGCGTGTCTGCAGCATTTGAAAGCTTCAGGGTTTGCACATAGGGGGTTTCAGGTGTTGGGGGATTAGCATTGAAGGTGTAGAGACCTAACGGTCCAAAGTAGTTGAAATGGGATGTAATCGCAATTGCTACATGGGATTCTTCAGTCTGCCACGTTTTGTCTTCTGAAGCTAGGTGCGACTTCTCATACAGTGGTCCCCGTGACCTCCTTCAACAAATATATTTCTTGTCATAGAGACCGCGAACCTTGAGAAAACCGCACATATGACTGTGACTAGCAGGCACCAGCTAGCACAGTTGTGGCCCCCTAGTCGTGCGGAAAAACATTATCATCGCGCACATGGTTGCTGCTTTTCAAAAGAATCCCCTGGCATGTGCAAAACACCCTTCTCCACCTCTCAATAATACATACCTAATAGAACGTAGTGGGGACGTAGTGGGGAGATCATCCATTGTGATGAGCTGGGAAGATTTATTGCTAGGAGCAGGGGATAGCTCGGGGCTTCCTCAGTGGTTCCATAGGAGAGGCTGCGTGTGTGCATTGCAAGCAGCCTCCTTTCAATCTGGGTATGACAAACGAGATGCTCGCAGGCTAGTCTTCGATGGCTGCTTCAAATGTTTGATAGTCTGTGGGCGCTGTCGAGCAAGAATACTCAGATCTCCAAAGCAAGAGACCTCCCCAACAATCCCCATAATTACTACTCGTACTCTTGGCACACCTAGAACTATTGATGTACTACTACTGTTCCTATTATCATCAGTCTTGCTGCTATCGTTATATGACATGGAAACGTTCTCGTATGTCTCCCCAACACGGTGGAGGGACGCCCACCTTAGGGAGGTTATACATTTTTATAAGCACGGTATAAATGGTTTATAACCCACTTGCAAGTGGGTTATAAGTTGTCTCAGGTACATATAAGTTTTAGAGTTACAGGAATTATATTCATTCATAAAGATGTATAAATATTGGTAATTCATGTTTAGTTAAGTCATGTTAAGTCATGTTCAGTTTCTTGCACCGCTTCAGCCATTTTCTTATTTAGGATCTGAACCTTAGAAAAACTTAGCAAGACTTAGCTTTTGGATTTTTTACATTGCGAATTTCGTAAGTTTTTCTACCATTTTTTTTTGCGTCGAACTCGCTTTCGAGCCAGTTTATGATTCAGCTGCAGGATCAGCGGCTCCTGCCGCTCCAGCCTTGCCCCAAACCCCTAACCCTTAAAACTCTCTCCCTTCCCTTGCCCCAAAACCCTAAACCTTAAAACTCTGTCTCTCTCCCCCTCCCTCCTCTTACCCCCTCTCCTTCCCACCCACCGGAAAGGCCAATACCACCCAATACCGCCTAATACTGCCCAATTCCGCTTCCCCCCCAAAAGGCCAATACCACCCAAT